TTGTAGATGGTTTTATTTCAAAGTTACATGATGCTTAATTGCATGAGAACATTTGTTCTAAAGATTGATACGCTTTACTGCAAATTAGAAGACTGGAAATGCTTGGTGCCTGCATTGTGCACTACAAGCATGACCATTTAAAAATTTTTCAGGATTTTATATGCCTGAATATTACAGAATCTAATTTGATTTTTGCATGTAATCAAATGAATTATAAAGTGCAATTGGAGATGATGTTGCTACCATAGAAGCTCCTTCAGGTGGTGGCATGGAAGGACTCTTCTCCCTTTCCTACCTTTTAATTATGATGGTTAAGACAAATATGTATACATCTGACAATTGCCTTAGACACGTTGAAATTTTCTTTGTACAAGTTTAACAACAGGTTTCATGATATTCCTGGTTTTTCTTTGTTTGTTACCTTTTTACATTTCATATTGGGTAGTTTGCATGAATTTTCTTCACATGTAGCACTTGAATTGGTGGGTAAATGTGCTTTCATCTAAAGTTTTCTATCATACATGCATTTCTTTCAACCCTCATATTCAAAATTGCGCGTGAAATTTAAGGTTGACTCCTTTTACTTGCTTCATGGAGTACCTTCTTGAGCATGGTGCTAATCTGGCTACAGCAAGTGAGCTAGGTGCCACAACCTTGTTTTGATCTGCTGGAATATGGGTGCACACTCTTCCTCTTCCTCATCCTCCTTGGTATATCTGATATCTTTATTCTAGCTCTACATACAGGGAAATAGTTTGTGTGTTTGTTAGTGTCCAGTACTCTTAGCATTCTAAATGCAAAGTCCCCATCTCAAATGCTTGGAGATTTGTATACATAATTGCTTTGGGTGTATCTCACAAAAACACCGAAAGCAGTAACTCTGTGCAGATCTGAATTGGAGCTGCTTCCATGATGTATCCCTCTTCTGTGGCAGTTAGGTTAAACATAAAATAAGATTGTAAAATAAAGAGGATATTATTTTGTATTGGCCTGAATAGTTGTTACAGCCATATGAGAATTTCACATAGTTTTGTTATGTCTAAAATCTACATTATTGTAATCCATCCTTTTAGCATCTCCTTCTAACAAGCTCTTCATATGCTGTTTTCAATCATACTATTTCCAATATAATTGAAAGGGTTAATCGTGCAAATAAATGTAAGTTTTTCTTTCTTACTCTTTGCTTTCTTACAGAAATGATTATGAAATGTTATTGACACTAGATGAGAACAATCATCAACATGGTGGTGCATTTGTTCACCAGATAGATAGTTTACCACAATAAGTAGTGCAGGTACATGTCTGGATAAAGAGAGCAAAACAATCTACATGTACTTCTTTTTAAGTTTCCTCCTTGAGAATAAATATGTGAGTTGGGTGTGTTGATTTATTTGCTAATTTTTTCTACTTTCTAATTTTCTTTGTTATGCAGACTGATGATGTTGAAGAAGCTTGTGCTATTTGTCTTGAAACCCCGGCTACTGGAGAAACTACACGTCATCTTTCTTGCCCACAGAAATTTCACAAAAATGTAGCTTCCCTTTTTTTTACTTTCTTTGTCTTTCTGTACTCATTTTATCATATTGACTAACAAAGATTTGATGCTTTTTCTGCTCTACGTGACAGTGCATTGTTCCATGACTCTTAATTTCGTTTGGTTGGCATTAATGTTATTATTTTAATCTAATTGAACTTGGTTTTGTATAGTTTCATATCTCCCTACCTTTCGTTCGTGAAAGAGTTAGTGCTATGAATAAGTTACATAATAATACAAGTCTTTTTCGATAATTGCAAATAAGTAGGCCATCCACTAAACCTTGTAACGTGGGATTGTTCAGCTATTGATTTGGTATCGATGATAATATTTCTTGGAAGTTTTCCAATTTAATATCTCTATATACTATTAACCGTTTTTCCTTTTCATGAAAAAAATAATTTGGTAATCATCTTTTCTTTTACCTAGTCTGAGTTCATTCATTTAATCATTAATTATTATGTAAAATATGAACAAAATTCCTTAATTTTACTGTGTAGTAAATCTTGCATTTATTCTTGATATGTGGTTGATAGAATCATAGATTAAGTAATTGTTGGATAGCTTCAGGTGTCTGATTTAGTGTTCCTCATTTGTTAATACCATAACAGTTTTACTTCTTTTCAAGTTTTTGTTCTTATAATGTCAAGATATGTATTTTAAACTTCCGAAACTCAATGATGTAATATTTTTATTTTCTAAAGCATATATTTCATTTACCGAAAAAGCAAAACTATTTGTTTTGTTTCTCTTCCTATTTTTTTTCAAGATTGTAATTTCTCTACTTTTTGGGTCCACAGCCCGCAAAGGAGGTTTGTCTAGCTAGTACAAACATAAGCGTGAAACACTACGAAAAACGGCTAGACGTTTAGGAGACGCTTACCGTAATATAGTCTTCCACGTCTTCGACTAGGATGGTATTGGATTGTGCACTTGATGGAAAGAATTGTGAATTCAACAATTCCTATTTTTTTTCAAGATTGTAATCTCTCTACTATTTGGGTCCACAGCCCGCAAAGGAGGTTTGTCTAGCTAGTTCAAACATAAGCGTGTAACATTACGAAAAACGTCTAGACGTCTAGGAGACGCTTATCTTAATATAGCCTTCCACGTCTTTGGTCAAGGCATGTTTGGTGAGCTTCTTAGTTTTTTTTTATGTTATTTATATTTTATAAATTTAAATTTTTTTTA